TCTCGCCTCATCTCGCCTCATCTCACTTGATCTCCCGTCACACTTCGCTTCATCTGGCGTCATCTCGCCCCATTTTTTCTTTTCTAGACCACTCCGAGACCAAACCCCAAGACCGACCCGAGACCCGAGATCGACCCATCGACCCGAGATCGACCCGAGATCGACCCGAGATCGACCCGAGATCGGCACGAGATCGATCCGAGATCGACCCGAGATCGACCCGAGATCGACACGAGCGATCAACCCAACAATGCCCCAAAGCCCCCTCTCTGGGGGACCCCCCCTCACCCCGAGTGTCCGTGTCCTTCGCGAGTCACCGATGGGGAGCGGGGGGGGGTGCGAGATGCACAGGGGAGGCTGGGGAGGGGGGGGTCCACTCTGAAGACTGCCGACCGCGGGGGGGTTTTGTCCCACAGGGTTTTACCCTCCGCGTGAGGATCGGCGCGGCGAGGGGGTAGGTTCGAATTCGCCGCGCAACATTTCACCCCCACAGGACCCCGCCCACCCCCCCTCATGGTCCCACCTAGTACCCCAATGAGCCTTCGCACCCCCTCCTTGCGCAGTGTCCCCCACTATGTGTCGCCGTTATCGGGGCACGCTATCCTGTGTAGTCAGGGCAAGTGGGGGCGGGGGGCAGTCCCTCTGGTCCGATACTGGTGTGGTTCTGTCTCTAGTCTCGGAGGGGGGCTTGAAGCTAAGAATATTTTATTTTGACAACCCTAGTCCGGTGAGCGGTGTCGGGAGAGCGAGCGAGGTTCAGAGGAGACAAAATAAATAAATAAAACGGACACCTCTCTACTGTGAGGTGGGTAAAAAGGAACAGGTCCCCGCCCTTGCGATCTTTGTGCAGGGTTCTTTGTGGGTGTGGTCGGCGACTAGCCGGGGTCGTCCTCCCGATGGGGGACTAGCACTAGCCGTCTTCCACATGGTCCCTCGGGTCCCTGCTGCTCCTAATCTCTTCGTACATCCTCCTGCTGATCTCCGCAACGTCCTGCTCTCTCCCTCGTCTCGCCCTGCGCGTCTGCTCCGCCTCCCCGTCGTCCGCCCTGCGTCGTCTGGTGACGGGTCCTCCATAGTCGGTTGAGGTCGCCGCCCTCCTCGTGCCTCTTCCCAACGTTCCCTCGGCGGCCGATGCCGTCTGCTCCGACTCCGCCGTCCCCGGGTCTGCCCTGCTCTCGTCTGCGCTAGCTTCTGTTTCGTCAGATCACTGATGTCTCTCCTCTTCTTTCTCCTCTTTCTTGTATGCTTTGCACATCGCGTCGATTCCTTTTCGCGTGAGCACCACCCTGAAGCCCGCCCAGCAGCTGAACCGCTCCCTAAGTCGAAGGAGCATCATCAGTCTCACCCACTTCGCTCGCTGCCCACCGTCTCCGCTCCCTCCCGCTTGAGCCGCCGTCGCGGCCCTCGTTCGTCCCACTGGCTGCTGGCCTGTCCGCACGTTACCTCCGTTATCCCTCCTCCTCCGCGACTCCCTCAAGGCCGGCCGGGCCTCCTACCCTCCTTCCACCCCCAGCGAAGAGCTTCCTGTTCCTCAGCCACTCGATGTGTTCCTCTCTCTTCATTATGCGCGCAGTACCAGTAGCCGCATCATTAAGCTGGATCCACCTCTGCACCGCTCCCGTCGCCGCCTCGGCCACGACTTGCAAGTTCCTCGTGACCCCGGCGCCAAGGTCCCTCCGGCTCGCTTAAGTCTTATCTCTCCGAGCAGGTCATCTCTACAGTGCTGGCAACTTAACCCGTGACGAAAAACGGACGCACACCAAGCGCTAAGCGTGAGGACGCGATTTCGAATTCGGAGGTGCATCTGAGCAAAATTGGGCCCGCTTCAGGTGTGAAAAAAATTATAAGGGTCATAGTCGCCGATTCGATCCGGAAGCCACTCGACCATCGAGAGGCCGACGGCCGAAGTCGGCAAACGTAGATCAAATGGTTAGAGATAGCGTCCACTCAGCGACCGATACCCGTAACACATTACCGGGGGAATTAGACACCACAGATACGCACAACCGACGCCCGAAGTGCCAAGAAGGACGTCATTAGTACGAAACCTCAGAAAAGGCCATGGGCGTCGAGAGAACATTCCCTCGAGAGGACAAAAGAAAGGCGACGCACCCCCTCCTTGCGCAGTGTCCCCCGCTATGTGTCGCCAATTGGGGCACGCTATCCTGTGCAGGCAGGGCAAGCGGGGGCGGGGGGCACTCCCCCTGGTCTGATACTGGGGTGTGACTGTCTCCAGTCTCGGAGGGGGGCAAGAAGGTAAGAATATCTAATGCACAGTGCTGGCAACACCCCCCCGACTGCGGGGGCTAGCAGACTGCACAGGCCACAGGGAGACACGACAGAGTCAGAGAGCGCGTTTTTTAACCTGTTGGAGAGATGTGACAAAATGAAAGCCAAAATGAAAGCTTTGCCGTGTGTGCAGCTGCAGGACGAATACTGAAAATACGAATCGCCGCGGGCGGCCGCCCGGCCGGGGTGCGGCAGCGGGGGCGCGCGGTTCGGAAACGGAATGGACCAAGACCCCGCTAGCCCCAAAGAGTGACCCACGCCGACGCGCTGAGCACGTAGCGGCCGCAGCCAGGTCTGTCCCGCCCGAGGTGCACACTACATCGCTTGACTGGAATAGTCCGCCCTCCTCGCTTCCACGCGGCAGAGGTGCGTTACCTGGACGGTCGCCGTCCGCTTTCGTCCCAATCGCCGCACGGTGCCGCTCGGATCGGCACAGTACGAGAAGCCGACCGGCGGCGGGCAGTCAAACATCACGACCGAGCCGAGCCTGGTCCACGCGTGTGGGTTCGAGAAGAGGGTGGGTACTCCCGTCCTCTTGAAGTCTGGGGTGGAGAGCGAGTCCTCGTTGAGGAGGAGTGGGCCGAGCTCCGCGAGCAGGCCAAACATGGACGCGGCGCCCGGGCGGCGTTGGTCACGAGCAGCACCGCCAGCGCCGGGCCATACACCAGGCAGGGCAGGGGCCATGGTGCGGTCGCGCATAGCAAGCCGAAGCTGCCGAGCGCCGCCAGCCAGCGCGGCCTCCTCACTGTGAGGACGGCGAGCAACGCGACGGCGAGCAGCCACCCGGCACGGAGGGCGGGCCACCAACGCTCCCTCTCCGAGCCGTCAAGCTGGAGGAGGGGCTCGCCGGTGGCGGCGCGGTGGCCGAGCGACAGGGAGCAGAGAAGGAAGAGCTCGTCGGCCCCAAAGAGACGCGTGCCTGGCCGGGGCCGGGAGGCGTCAGCGGCCGGCAAAGGAAGGTCACGGTGGGCTGCTGCAATTTGCTGCCGCCGCCGCGGCGTGCGCGCTCTCGCGCTAGGCGGTGCCGAGGGTGGGTCGGCCGGAGCATCGCTCGGCCACGTGGCAGGTGAGGAGGGTTGACATGCCGCAGCAGAGCGCAAACCGCTGCGCCGCTGGGTAGCCAAAGAGGTGGTCGCAGCAAATCTGGCACGAAGCGAGCACGCCGAGCGAGCCTACGGCAGGCGGCGGCGGGCGCGCCTCTCTGTAAGGTGGCAAACAGCGAGAGGGAAAGTTTAGTGTGGTGGTTCTGGCGTGTCCATGCGCGGCTCTTATCTGCATCTGGCACGGACGCGCCATCGAGCGCGTGATCTAGCACGTGGCCGAGACGCGACGACTTGCCAGTGCGTCGCGCTTGCTTTCCGTCCATGTTGTCGAGCATGTGGTACGCAGTGAAGGCCGCGCACGCAGCGACCCATGAGCCGCGCCGCATCGCGAGCAGCGACGCGGCGGCGCCGGCGCCGCCAAGGCAGGTGATCGCGTTCGGGTGCACCCACAGAGGCCAGAGCTGCACAAGGCGGTCGTAGAAGGGCGAGAGCGCCAAGTCGTAGAGTAATGACGACATGGGGCAGACCAGAGGAGACCACAGAGACCACCGTGTCGCCGTCGGCGCGCGCACGAGAAGAAAAACAGAGGAGGTGTCCGGGATTTTTATTTGAAAGACCGATTTCTTCTGACGCTGGGTTCGAGGCGTCAGGGGGGTAGGGTAGGGGTGGACCGCCGCCCCACCCCCCCCCTACCCCCATACCCCCTGATTTGGGCGTGTACAGTGGGTTGCGGGCATTAAGAAAACGTGGCATTAAGAAACCCTACCAAGCGATTTCCGCAAAAATCTAAGAAACCACGGCGCGCCGCAGGCGCGGCCCCGAGAAAAGGCCAGATACGAGTGTGAACGGGAGCCCCAGCTGCAGCTCAAAATTTCTCTTCGCCTGCGGCGCGCGCACTTGTGTCTTGTCACTTTTCAAGTCTGCGGTGTTCTGAGTGGAGTGGATGGAAGGCGTGTGTGCGTCTTCCCGTCACATCCAGAGAGCCGACTCAGCGGCAGACTCTGGCATCGCCCTCGCGGACCGCAGCTTACCTCTCACCTACTCGAGTAAAACTCCTTCCTTCGGTCGGGCCGGCTCTGGCTTGAGTGACGGCCGGAGCTAAGAAACCACGGCGTGGGGTGGATGAGGGCTGTGGAAAGGTTAGAAACGGCGGCGTGCCGCGGAATCCTGTTTTCTTAATGCCCGCAACCCACTGTAACGGACCTACGGACGCCCCCAGTGGTGGCCGACCCCCCGCGGATACGCCCCAGGCCCTACCCCGGCGAAAACCCAAAAAAGGGTGCTAGTAAGCCCGCTGAGGCGTAGTGCTCTTGCAGAGGCGGTTAGTGGTGCACTAACCCCGAGAAACCCTTGGGTCACTCCTCATCGCAATTCGCAAACCCTGTCAACAGTCCTCCTCCGGGAATGATCGTAAGAGCCACATACATTGAGAGAGAGAGCGCCGCGCGTAGGGCCCTTAGGGGCCTAGAGAACACAACCCCCTCTCTCTTTTCTCCCAGTAAGCTAAAAGTACGTACCTCCTCCTGGAAAAGTTATTTAGCCCCACCCCGGTTTCGGATATCGGCGAACGATTGGACGGTGCCTCCAACTGAGCCAAATGGAGCCCTGTGATGTGGGACCTCACTCCCAGAAGCTTGGAGCTTCAGGCCGCGACCACGTGGCTAGGTGGACACTAAAGTGCCATTTTGGCGCCAAATCTTGGCGGGAAATGACACGTGGCTTGGCGGGAGTGTGGTATGGCTGCGCTGCTCGACAGCGCTGCTGTTGAGCGCCAGCTGCTGCTCCCTTCAGCCAGACGGCCGGGCCTGCGCAGCACGACCGCTGGCCTTCCTCCTGCACCACAGGAGCGCGCCAAGGCGCGCGTCTGGGCAAGCAGTGCGTCTCATCGCGATGCGAGAGTCGACGCTGTGACGCCGCCGCTCGCCGGCTAGAATGACAGTGGCAGCATTCGAGTACACGTCGAGCTGTGCGTACCAGCACTCGTATGCGAGCTAATTGTGTCCCTGAGCTGCTGTGGGGTGCGTGGGCTCAGCTGCGGAGCACGTACTGGGCGGCGGTAGGGGGGTGGGGCTAAATAACTTTTCCAGGAGGAGGTAGAGCTCTACATTGAGAGCAGGGATCCTACATTGAAAAAAGTCGGGACCCGCCCGGCCGGTGGCGACTCTTGGCGAAGTCCAGGGACGCTCACGACGACATGCTCACGACGTCCGTGGAGACGACACTTACTGACGACGACCTGCTCTACTGCGTCTTCTCCTTCCTGCAGGCGAGGGATCTCTCTGTGTCAGCCGCCGTCTGCACACAGTGGTGCCGCGCCGCATCCGCGAACGACCTCTGGACGCCGCTCTGCACGACGCTGTGGGAGGGAAGACTCGTGCCGCGACGCTTCCTCGCGGATCCTGACCGCCCGCGCAGATCCTATTTCGCCTCGCTGGAAGACTCGCGTCGCTGCGCCATTAGCGCTGCGGAACTTGTCCACCTCGAGTGGAGGTTCAGCTTTGTCACCGATCACCGCCGTCTTTTCGAAGGGGGAGTCGGCGAGCCGCAGCCACCTGGCGAGACCGCCAGCTTTCGGCCCGACTCGACCTTTGTCTCCTCCGTCGTGGGTGCGCCGTCCTCTGTGCGCGCTCTGCGGTGGTCCATTGCCGCCGGCGGGCACGGCGTCAAGGTGGGCGCGTACCCCACTCTCGTTGTCACGCGCGACCCCACATCGTGGGGCTGGAGCCTGACCAACCGGTTCGTGCAGCTTTCAACCGCCCACGGGGCGTGACCGTGATGAGAGAGTCGTGTGGGTCGGATCTCGGACACAGGGACACAGCGGATAAAGGTGATTAAAAACGGACGGGTAGAGGGGTTGTGCTCTTTGCGGGATCGAAAGATCTCAGAATACAAAGGCCTTTCTGTCTGCCTTTCTGCCTCTGACCAGGTGGGAGCAGGCTGCTGCTGGTGCCGTGGTGCCCTGGTGGCAGCCAGCTCTCCACTGCACCCCCCACAGCCCAGCGCGCACAGGACCGCTTCGGTTCGCACAGGCACAGCCGCCACCCGCCAGCCTTCACCGCTAGCCTCACACGCGCACACCCCACAACCAATCGCGAACAACAAAAACAAACACACCACGGGGCGGGCCCCGATGATGTGTGAGTGTTAGGGTTGTTTGGTATTGCTTACCCCACCTGTAAAAGCTAAAAAAAACCTCTTTAAGGTATATTGGTTATTGCCGAAAGTGGCGGCGAGTCGCAAGAGGATCACCTGCCCGCCGTCCCGGCGGTCCCACAGCTCGCGCGAATCTCCCTCTTACAGTAACATCTCGTAGCCCACCTCTAACATCACAATAGTGTATTGCTAACATCTCTGACTCTCGCACACACCGTGCTGCCGTGTGGGCGTGGCGGCCTGTCAGGTCACAGGTGGGCGCACCGCGGCCCTAGACCGCGGCCACGCCCACTCCCAACTGCAACTCGCGAAAAAGAAAGAAAGCAAACGGACAACCCAAGGGAGGGATGGGAGGACGGCACTCGCGACAAGAACCCTGTCAACTGATTCGCTTTCTTTCCTCTCGCTGTGACATATTGTTAATTGGTTGATGGAAGGTGAGTTGATGGAAGGTGAAGAACAGCCAGGCTGAGGGCCGAACTTGAAAATCGTGCTTTTGGGGTTACACAGCGGGTCCCCAAGGGTGAACCAACAACCCAACCCAATCAGGTGTGTGTACTTCTTGCTTGGGCGGCAGTGTCATGCTGAAATTCTTCAAAAACCTGGCCGGCCCCTGCCCTGCCCCTACCTACCTACCTACCTACCTTACTTATGGGAAACTAAAAAAGAAATCACTCGAAGGGTGAAGGTGGGGTACTATACCAACTAGAGTGATGGTTGGTGGTACTCCTCCTGCAACCACAGGTCCTTCTTGTGACATGGCAGGCCACTTAGTTCCTCGGCCCTGGATGTGAGGTTACCGACTGCACTCCAAGTGCTCCAAGTGCACTCTCAAGCCCTACAAGCATCAGATCACCCATTTGGGGAGGGTTGACATCGTGACTTCCTTGGAGCACTTGGAGTGCAGTCATTAGCCTCACATCCAGGGCCGGGGAGCTAAGTTCCGCGGAAAATTTCTTTTTCTGCTGTGAAAATTCCAAAACAGGGAAAACCCCGACGGGAGGGCCCAGAACCTACCCTACCTACCCCGGCATGACTGCCGCCCAAGCAAGAAGTTCACACACCTGACCCAACCCAAAAGAACCCAACACGGCACAAAAGGGATTGGTTTTCCAGAGAGAGATTTTTAGCAGGCCCCAAATGCCAGCGTGTGAGTGTTAGAGTTGTTTGGTTTCTAA